CCGTGTGGCGCAGTTCAATTAAAGCTGGACTGCGGTGCTAAGGGTCCCGGGTTCGGGCATGGATATTTGTAAATGTATAGTGGGTTGGGTTGGTAGAGCACCTTCGGCTGAAACACCGCCCACTCAAAAAAAAGGCAAAATAGAAATCGACAAAATCATTTTACAATAAATCAGACATGCCTTGGAATTACAAAAAAAAACGGCGATAACTTTTCATTATTTGCCTTTGACGTATATTAAATTTATACTTGTTTATAAATTAGTTAATCATAAAATTGTTTATCATGTTTTTAACTGAAGAGAAAGAGGAAATGGTAAAGTTGTTTTATGCCCGCCAAGTAACGTCTTTATTTACTGTGAAGTACCCCAATCGACCGATTCCAAGCAGTACCACAGTAGACAGAATTGTGCGCAAGTTTCAAAGAACAGGAACAGTGTTAAATATCTGCAAGTGCAATAGGTATTGTTCAAAATGTCCGTCAAAACCATCAGGAAAACGACAATACATTCAACGTTTTGGCTGCAGTAGCGGAAAATCCGAATACAAGTTTAAGAACAATTCTTGCTCAAATCAATTTCTTTTTGTTCGATTCTGTACTCTGGTTCCGGAAAATTATAAACAAATAGTATCTGATGCAGATGCAGCATTACATTCTCTAAAAAAACATTACCCTAAAGACGGTTTTTCGTGGGTCGGTTAGTTGAAACAGAATTTAAATATGAAAATCGTTTGACGTCAAACAACTATAACTTAGATGCGATGCGCTTGTAGTTTGTTAAAAGATTCCAAAGCATCACTGATTTATAAAATAGTATATTTCATGACCAGTCCAGAAAGGAAGATTTTCCCGTGGGCGCATGACGTTTCCCGTGTGAGGCGAAGCCGAACACGGGAAGTCATGCAAACACGGGAAAAGCCTTTCTGGACGTGTAATGAACGATATTTTTCATTATACCTCTCCGAAAATAACGGAGAATAATTATTTACATTGAAGATTTTTAACACAATGGTAAAAAATCGGTTGACATATATGTCAAAGTCAAGCCGCGGTATGCATGGCAACGCATGGGATAGGGATAGTTATGGCATGGATTACCTAGTTATTCGTAGCGCACGGGAAAAAGTTTTCCAGTGCGCTCGCACGGGAAAACCCTACTTTCGGCACGCTTGGGATACATGAAAAGACAGTACTTTCGGAGAGGTATAATGAAAATGTAATTTTTTATTTTGTGGATTTCTACGGTTTTGAAAAATGGAAAATTATAAGTGAACAGATGCAGTATTTTTTTCTAAAAAAAAACGTATTTAGACTTTTGCTCTAAAATAATTAGGGGAGCTAGTATTTGGCTATAAGGAAATTACCATTGAAATCCCTATGCTGCGTCGCGCTAGGCACCACCCGGTATATGGAAATATACCCGATCACAATCAGGGGTCGAGGAAGAGGACTACGGTTGGTAGAAATTAATTCCTTTTGAGACCTTTCATGACAGTACCATGAAGAATAAAACCAGTTCACCCCCCCTTTGCAACCCCTTCTTTTGGTAAGGGGTCAGACAGAAGGGCTGTAGTTGATAGAAAACGGTTCCTTTCGTTAAGACCTTTAATTTGAATGCCATGGAAGATAAAATTACCCCCCCCCCCCAGGCCCCGTCACCCACTGATCTCGAAAGAGTCGCGCGGAAGGTTATAGTTTGTACAAACCAATTTATTTCGATGAGACCTTTCATTAGAATACCATGAAGGGTAGAACGTGCCCCCCCCCCCATTTCCGAAAGTTTTACTTGGCACTACAAAAGGTATGTGTATGCGACCAATTTATTGTCATAAATGTTGTTCACGTTTTACTTTCAAAAACAGCATCTCAGGAAATAATTCATGGGGCGCCTCCCCTTTAAGACAGCGAAATTTGATGGCCGTCTGGCCGACTTTCAAGGTATAGGCTACCTACCAGAGCTGGATACTGCTCGCGAGCGTTTCGCTCGAAAAAGCGCTCCAATGGCCACTTTTAACCGCCCTCACGTGCTGAAGGATTAAGCGCCGCTCGCAAGCGTCTTTTCCGCCCCCGAGCGCTTTTTTCGCTCTTGAGCGTTTTTTTCCCTCACGAGCACTTTTCCCGAGCGCTCGCGATAAACCACTCGAACACTTTCAGGAGTGCTCGGAACTCGCAAGCGGTTTCGCTTTGCAAAACAGCTCGATGCTCGTGACCATTTTTTAAACAATTAGAGCGCTCGTCGCTCGAGCGGTTTTTTAGAACGCTCGAGTAGTTTAAAGCGGCAGATGTGGGTCCGGACAGACGGACGCACGGACAAAACACAAACAATAGCACATTTTTTTTAATTCTTAAAAAAATCATTTTTCGCCCCTCGAGCTCAAGACCAAGAGCTCCATCCTTTTCAGTTTTCGTACTTGACGGTCACAATATGGAAAAGGACAATTGTTTCATTTGTGAAAGACCTTTGCGTAAATCTCATGGATTTGATTTTAAAAGATTTGCTGTGGCTTCGGCACAGATACACCCACACATCTGCGCATGCGAGATTCTGTCCCTCTCTCCCTCCCCTACCCTTCTTCCCTCTCACTCCCTCCCGCCCCTCCCTCTCTCTCTCTTCTCCCGCCCCCCTCCTCTCTTTTGGTTTAAATCGGTTCAGCCGTTTAGCCGGAAATGAAAGTACAGACAAACAGATCGACACACCGATCGACACCATCGATATTGTGTTTGATTCGGATTGGTGGGGTCGTATATGTGGGGAAGATGCATCAGATTTTTTGGCCAGAGAAAATAAGAACCCATTAATCAGACGAGAAAAGTTACACCATATTATGAGCTTGGCATTTAAGGATTTCCTCATAACGACAGCTACGATCAAAGGTGATGATGAGGTTCTTCGAGGAATCCACTTCGTTTCTCATCCCTGTGCAGAAGAAGGTCGATACCACCGGACGTGGAAGACGAAGGACCTTCTTGAGCTGCTTTTTATAGTCTTGGGTTCAGGTGGTCATATAATGATGCCAAGGTGTTGAGTCATCATGCATTAAACAGCCACTACAAGTACTACAGGATGCATAATTTAGCAAATTTGTGGGCGTAAATCGGATGCCAATATGGATACCTTTGATCGTAATAAAACCTTCCATGCCATGCAACAAAGTTAGGAAACTGAACAAGTTACCCTGAGCACTAGAAGCAATCAGTGCATCAAAACGCTATACCATTGGTACCTTTCCAAGAGACAGACAGTAGGTCTCCAAGTCCATGGCCATCTATAACATCAATGAGTAGAGCCACTCACTGAAGTGCAATTTTCTCTCAGTGACCTACTTGAATGAATTTATGCAAAATGGAAACAGCCTCTACAGGGGTGGAATGGTTTCATAACAAAAGTGGGAGCTAGGAAACCAATCCATACATGTCGTACATTGTACCTCCCATTTCTGAATTTTCCTCCAGGACACCTCGGTACAATTTAGTCTGTTCTCCTGGATTTATTATGGAGAAAAAAGCAATAAACATCGGCATTTTTTTTGGAAGGAAAAGGTGAAGGCGTTAAAAAATCACAATAAATAAACAGA